AGCTTAAAAAACTTGAAAAAAATGAGAAAATTTAAAGAGGCTGTAAGTGTAATTTACCATATTAGTGTAATTCTGCCTTTTAATAAAACGCATTCTCATTTAATCACTCTGCTAGTATTGCTATGTTTCCCTTGAAACTTGGAAACAACTTGCAGCGCCCCTGTGAGTTTGCTGTGGTGCTCCAGAACATCTTAGTGTATGGTTTGGGAATTTCTGTTCTGCACTGTGCAACCTGCCTGTGACTAAGTAGCTCATGCAGGTTTCTTTTGAGGAAAAAAAGTTTGTTCTCCCGTGTAGAGCACAAACAGATTGAATGAAAACTTGTTTGTTGTAGGGGGATAATATTCAAAATTAAGTAATTATCTTTTTAGAAATCTGTGGTTTTTGTGAAAAATTAGATTAAAATTGACAGATATCCTCCTTGTTGTTGTAAAATGATTCTGAAAGTGTTACTCAAATGAATAAAATTATGGATATTTGAAAATTGTTCTTACATAATACTGTTATATTTTCCTTGACAACTTTAGTATAAATCTAATTCTTATCTGATTAAAATTATTGTGAGGAGTCTTAAGAAAGAAAATACGATTCTTCACTCAAGCTTCTTTATAATTACATGTGTCGTGGTTAGCGGAAAGTGAATGGGTTTGAATTCTGACTTTTCCTCTAACTAATCTGACGATAGATAACTATTTCCCTTGCCATCGATTAGTTTAGGAGTGGCTGTGACCCTCTGGCTAATTAGATATAATGAGAAAGTCAGCTGGTGGGGCTTCTGGGAAAGGTTTCCTCACTGATAAAAGAGAGACTCACAGAAAGAGATGCTTTTTTCACTGGATACTGCTATGTCTTCATGTGTTGTGCTGAACTCTGGCAGCTCATTTTGTGACCATGCGTACAAGTAGCTGAGGGCAAAGCTAACAAAGTCGGGGCAGCAGAGCAGAAGGACGGAGGACTCCTGAGCCCCCTCGAGAAGGATGATATTAAATTAATCAGTCCTGAACAAGTCTACCTTATCACTTCTTTCATGGAGAGAATAACTATTCCTTTTTTAATTATTTATTTATTTGAACAGTTTTATTTATTTATTTAATTTTTTTGTGAGGAAGATCAGCCCTGAGCTAACATCCATGCTAATCCTCCTCTTTATGCTGAGGAAGACTGGCCCTGAGCTAACATCTATTGCCAATCCGCCTCCTTTTTTTTCCCTTTTTCTCCCCAAAGCCCCAGTGGATAGTTGTATGTCATAGTTGCACATACTTCTAGTTGCTGTATGTGAGATACGGCCTCAGCATAGCCAGAGAAGCGGTGCGTCGGTGTGCGCCCGGGATCTGAACCCGGGCCGCCATTAGCGGAGCGCGAGCACTTAACCACTACGCCACGAGACCAGCCCAACTGTTCCTTTTATACATTAAGCACCCTTAACTGATATAGTTAGTCTTCTTCCTTAATTATAAATGCTATTTATACTAAGTTAAAGAGTCAAGACCCTCATGGGTCTGTAATGTAGGCAATCAAACATGTTTTGAAAAACCCTCCCAAGTGATTCTTATACCATCTTACCTTTCTTCTAATTCTTTCTTCCCTCCCATTGAGAACCTCTGGAGCAAGATAGTTATGAAATTGAATTGAAAGTGCTTGATGAATGATTGATTATATGTGTAGGTCAGGGAAAGGGAGAGGTCTAGACAACTACTGTGGTTTGGGTTTGGGTAATTGGGTGGATGGTGCTGTCATTCTGGGTGATAAGGACCATAACTAAAAGAATGACTTCAGTTTTGTACATTCTGAATTTGAGGTGTCTGGGAAACATTTGGAAATTGATACCAGAAAGTAGTTAGATGTATAATCCTGGAGTTCACAGAGATCTCTTAAGCTATAAGACTATGAGATTTGGTAGTTGTAGTTGAAACTGGGAGTGTAGAGATTGCCTAGGCAGATATACCTTATTGAGAATGGTAGAGAGGAATATATGGAGCCTCAGAAAACATCAATATTTCAGTGTAGGCTAGGAGAAGAAGTGGTTGAAGAGGAAAAGGAATTCCTGATACCAACAATGACATATCTCATTTCATCTTATATTTTTCTCAGAGAAATTCTAAGATCCTTGCAGTTATCAAACTTTAATCAGGAGGTAAACGTTACATATTTTAACTTTTTTTTAAAAAAAAGTAGATTCTTAAATGCTTGTTTCCCCTTGTGTTTGATTAATTTATAATGCTAAATGGTAATCTCATGGGATAAAGAGTTAATATACCACTGTAATACTGGCAGTTTACTCTCTCCTCTCTCACAGGATCAATTTGATCATGATGCTAGTACAGATATAGGATAAGGGACCAAAAAACCCAATGTATAAATTTCCATCAGTCCTTGTTTCCAGTCCTTTGTATGATAGCAGATGTATTGTTTTTAGGGCATATACACATATATGTTGTTGCCCCTTGTATTTTGCTGTTCATAATTTTGTATTCTACTTTTATCTTTTTGTTACTTCTATTTTTAGCATTTGACATGTTAGTCAATGTACTCTTTTTGTATAAAAATAAAATATTTTAGAGAATTAAGAGAATTTTGAAAACCCAAATAATTTTTCTTGCTAAGGAAATTAGGTATTTCATATAAACAGAAACCTGTAGGAAAGGGGGAAACATAACTTTTGAAGAGTATTATCTTAAACCTTTCAGATAGTCTGTGGGTGCCAACCTAGAATTGTGTGTGTTTCTGTGCATGTGTGTGTCATGTCAAAAACACTGTGTGGTGGGAATATCAGACTTTATGAACACTTCCAATAAATAAAAAAGTACAATTTTCAATCAACATTATTGCTAAAAGGATCCAAAAAATCTATTTGCATGTTTCTTATTTGTCCCTCCAACTCTCTCTCTCTCTTTTCTTTTTTAACTTCAGTTTGAATAGCACCTATAATTAAGGAAGAAAACCGAGCCCTGGGAGCTAGGTAGTACTTCCAGCTATTGATCTGTGTAAACCCAGCTTATACTGTCAGGGGAGAAACAGTCAACTGCTGAGCTGCTTTGTCGCTGACATAAGCTGAGAGAGGATTTTTTTGTCTATACTGTTTATACACTAGTCTATAGACCTGCTGGCTGGTTGAATTTTAAAGAGTGCGGAGGTTTAAAGACTTGTCCCCTGAGGGATGCTTCTGCCAGTTGGGCAGCGAGCTGAGGGCTGTTCTGCAGAAGTGTGTGCATGTGCGTTGCTTGTGGAAGAAGTCCGGGGGGCTGGGGGGTGGAGTGTGAAAGATGGAGCCACTAAGTGGGAAGCAGTCTTCTTAATTTGAGTCTTAAAATTGATGTGAAATATATTACTAATTTGTATTAAATATATTTAGAGGCAGACAATGAATTTTGAATATATATCTTGTTACAGAAATTATATAAACAATTTTGCAGGAGGGATAAATAGTGTTCATATGTGTAGTAAATATGGTAAATGGCTTCAATTTATGCAGCACAAGATAAGGATTAGCAATGGTCAAATGAACTGTTCTCATTTGTAATGAACTCTTTTCAGTTTAAGTAATTTAAGTTATATCAAGTTTAGTGGCTTTTTAAATTAAATTTAACAAAACGTTGTCAGTAGTAAAACAGTTAGCTTTTTCTAAATATGGGGTCAGTGTTCATGCTTTTAAAGGTGCATGTTCATAAGCAAACCAAGGTACCCTGCTCTGAAGATAGAAGGTTACTTTTTCATATGATGCTTTTCTTTCTGCTTCAGTGGCTTCAGGCTGTTGAAGCATTCTTGGGTATTGGCATTGGAATTTTCCAGTGTTTTATTTTTAATTGATACTTTACTGCAGTCTACATTTTAAAAGAGCATGAGAATTTTTACTTTAAAACTATATATATATTAAATATATAGGGTTTAAATATTGAGATATTGATGATTTCTCTGGATGTAAGTTTTATTGGTAAAGAGGTAGTAGGTAAGCTATTTTTTGAGGGGGGTGACTGCTACATTAAGATGTTTGTTCTCTTTTCTTTTTAATAGGAAACATCCTCATAAATCTCTGCTCTGTCTTGTAAAATCGCCTGGCTTTGAACTTGTATGATGTTATCTTCAATTCTAAAGTTTAACTTTAGAATCAGAGTTAATTTTAAGTTGTTTTTCATATATAACAAAATAAGATTTTTTTCTATTTTTTGCCAGATGGCTGACAATTATTTGCATTTTTTTATAATTGTTAATGTGAATGATTTTTAGTAGTTTTTAAATTTATTTTATAATGACTATAAAATCACTGCCGGTTTCAAAATCAATACAGTTATTTTCTATTAGTAATTAAAACATTGATTTTCATATTAGGCTATTCTTAAATGCCAAGTGCACAAATTAGAAGCTATGTTGTTTTAAATTTAAAGGCTTGTTTTTAGATACATATTTCTTTAAGAATGGTATTTGAGATAAAACTTAATGTTACTGTTGTTGAATTTACCTAGAGTTGAAACATATAATGTGTTTCTTTAGCTATAGAAAGTCTTTTTTTCCAACCGTTTTACTCTGGGACATGTAGAGTTGTTATACCTCTAGTAATTCATTCAGCTGCCAACTTCATTCCCTTTTCTCTGCCTGCATTTTAATTGAAACAACATTTATATTTTTGAGCCAGGATCTGTCAGAAGTCCCTGTGGCTAGTCTGTGGTACAAGTAGCAGCAGACGTAGCTTACCCATATGGTGCGGTGCTTCTTGTAAAATCCATATGGCCTTGTTGAAGGGAATCCCAGCGGGGATGTGAAGGGTGTTAATACCCTTCAGGCCGGGCCTTTCCCTCCTGGGGCTTCCATGGCATTGTCAGTGCAATCTGCCAAAGCAGAAACTTAATTCCTTTTTAATAATCAATTATTTTAGTCTATGAACCTGTGCTATTTTTCTTCAGAAAAAAACAAACTTTTTTCCCCTAGAAAAAGTCTCAAAAAAAGTTTTAATTGCATCTTTAAAAATATTCTAAAGCTTTTTTCTTTTTGATTTGCATTTGCAGGAAGTACTACAGAGTGTGCCAAAGTTCTGTTTCCCCTTTGACGTTGAAAGGTACAGTGTGTGTCATCATTTAAGTAATAACTTTAGCCCATCTAAGTGAGCACTTTAAAATTATTACATGTGTTTTTTAAATAAAGTGAAATGTACTGCACTGCTTCCAGCAAAAACACTAGAGGTTCAAAATTAAATAATATTTGGAATGAAGAAGGCTTTAAATCGTTATATCTTTTGTTTTCTCCACTGTGGCCAGTTAGGAGAAGTCTTAAGGTTCCATTTCTTCCTTTTGTTCTTCAGGTACATATTGTTAAGTACTAGCAGGAAAAAAATATTAATGTGCCCTTGGTCAGAGCCTTAGAATTGTGTCTTTTAAAATTAGATGTATATATCCTGGTTTCTATCTCACTTCACCCTAATTGAAAAGACCATCTGTATGATATTGTAAAACTCATGGCTAGTTGTCTCCCAAGAATAGCTTGATAGAAATAGCGCAATACTAGCGCTATTTCTAAGGCTACGGGGAAACCTTCCCAGCAGTTTTGAAAATCTCATTATGTTTGTATTTTTCTGAAGAAATACTGAATGAATAGAGTACTACCTGTGTGTAGTAGGAATTTCACAGAATATGTAGCCCTTTGAGTGTAATAACAGATCACATTGTTTTTCATGTGTTTTTCACACCCTATTATCAGTTTTTTTTAAGAGTATGGTATGAGGGGATTTTAAAAGAACATTTATTTTAGGAAAATATTTTGCTAAAGTGAAGATTAGTGAAAATCTAAAATTTTACAATATTAAAGATAGATGATGGGTTAATTGATACTAATAAGTATTGCTGATAAATGATGCCCCGTTTTACCTCCTTTCTGGGGAATCAGTTATGCTGCTAAAGTAGCAATTTTCAAATTAATAGCAAGGATAAAATAAAGGAAGAAAAGCTATGCAAGCATATTGTGAACATTGGGCACTAGAGGGCACATTAGGCAAAGGAGGTTGTTTTTGAAGTTTGTAAAAATTTTTAAAAAACTGTCCACTTAAAAGTATATTTGTTAAATGTTCAGCATTTGAAATGCAGTATTTCCTGACAATTGAAAACAGTTTTTAGTACTTGCACACTAGTAGTAAAGTAGCTTATTTCCTTGTACGTAATTCCTATGGCTATTTCAAAACCAAAATTTAGGTGTCATTGATATTTTATTTCAGGACAAAGAAGCAGATGTTCAGTTATGGTTGCCTAATGGCAAGATTATAGCCAGTAACAGGAAATATATATTTTAAATAGTAATAAAGATTCAGTCTAATGATTTATATTACACCTTACACTGCACTGTGACACATACTATGGTAGTATGATACTTAGTTCAAAATTAGCTAAAATCCTTTGTAATAAGCTCTTTTGTAGAAATTGTATTCTTATTTTGTAGAAATCAAATTCTTGGAAATTTATTCTCAGTATACAGGTAGCTCTAGAAAAGAATGCTGAAAAAAAAATGCCAATAGCATTTTGTATGGTACTTTATTGGGTGAGAATGTCAACAGAAGAAGCGATTAAACAGAGTTGGTAGTGGCTGCCCTTAGATTCTAAAGCAACGCAATTTGCTATCTGAGCAGTCTTAGAATAATCGGAAAGGGAGAGGCTAGAGTTGAGCAGACTCAGTCATTATGTGTAGCGTCTCACGTCCACAGTTTCAGTAATCATCTTTTCAGAATTTATGAAATATTTCACAAGTACTTTTAGGCATGTGAAAACTTATGGTAAAATACCTAATGATTCCGTGGTAAGGGATTAGTATATGCTGAGTTGCTTGGTCCATGAGGTATTACAGTTTATTTTGATGTTTGATTCATGATTTAGTTTACACATTTCACACTCATTTCAGTTTTAGAGCATAGTTCTAGCTTCAAGAACCAACTGATTGGAAAGGTGAAACCTATGCCACATATAAATATATTCTTGCTTTTGCTTTTCCTTAAGAAAATTCTCACACAAGGCTTAATGTTTTATAATATTACTGTATTTTAGAGTGTCTCAAAATCAAGTTGGACAGCACTTTACCTTTGTACTGACAGACATTGAGAGTAAGCAGAGATTTGGATTTTGCAGACTCACATCAGGAGGCAAAATTTGCTTATGCATCCTTAGGTGAGTATTTGTAGTAAAACAACAAAAAATTGGATGCACAGTAGATTAACTGTCTTTCTTTTGTACTTTGTTATGCTTAGAATGATTAAAAATATGCTTATAATTTTTTTTCTTATCTGTTTTCTCCAAATCCAAGTAAGTTGAAAAATAATTTTATTTCCTTTCTATATGTAGCATCAATTAGGTTTAAAGATTTCCCAGTAACAGTAGAATTTTTCTTGAAAGAATTGGCTCTTTTAAAGATTAGTTTTTTGCGGTTTATTTTTGAAAAACTAAATATTAAAATATGAGTTCAAATAATATGTTTCACATATTAAATAGGATGCAAAAAATTCAATTAAATTAATATGTGCTGTTTTCTATCACTGATGCAGAATTTGGATTTTTGAAACTGAGTTGCTGCTTTAAGGCAAAGGTTGCAAACTGGTGATTTTAGGCAGAAGTGTTTAGAGGTGTTTTATTTGGCCACATGATGTTTAAAATATTTTAAAAGATGTTTCTAATTTTGTAAATTTTAGTGCAATTTTGCATAAAATTCATGTTTCTGATTCCTTTTGCTAGATGGGATTATTTGCTAATTCTGGTCTTGCACTCCACAATAGCAGCAGTAAACTGGAACTAAGCCACGGGTTTTTAATTGTGTCATGAATTTGCTGGTTGGCCACAAGTCCTCCCTGTCCGATTCAATTGCTTACATTATCTGCCTTGACTCAGTAGATAAAGTGTGTGTCTCCTGTCTGTAGACTTAGGATTTGAATTGCTGGCTGTTGAGAAGGAAGGGTCCTAAAGGTTAGCTTTTCTTTAATATGTCCTGATGAATCGGAAATCTAGATGTATTCTATAAAGATAGGACTCTATACTGTGATTATAATATGGATATTGGTCAAGTTAGATTCTATAGAAATGTTTATAGGAAAAGAAATAATGTTTAATTTAATAATGAAAATATTGCAAAGAAAACTTTGGTGTAACGTTGATGTCTACTCTGTTCATTTGCTATTTAGCTACATTGATATTATTCTTGAGGGTTAGGTTATAAATTTACTCAGAACATTTGTTAGAGTTGGAGAATTGTTTTTAATCTTGCCCCGTGGCTTAGCGGTTGAGTGCGTGCGCTCCGCTGCTGGAGGCCCGGGTTTGGATCCCGGGCGCGCACCGATGCGCTGCTTCTCCGGCCATGCTGAGGCCACGTCCCACATACAGCAACTAGAAGGATGTGCAGCTATGACATGCAACTATCTACTGGGGCTTTGGGGGAAAATAAATAAATAAATAAAAAATTACAAAAAGGTAGCCAAAGATATTAAAAAAAAAAAAAAGTAAATGCTTAACTGCTTTGTAAGTAATTGAATGTGGGTGTGCCTCCATTCTTTTCTTTAGGCACAACTTTTTCATCATGATAACAATTGATTTAAAACTAATGTTTATCCAGAAGAGTATTACGCTTCAAACTGTAGGTTGATTCTTCTAGTTTGAGTCCAGTTGGTTGGACAGCGGGGTGGAGTGACCATGTGGAAAATGGTGGGGAGGGCTCCTTTCATCACTGTGTTTCATGATGACAGTTCAAAAGCTGCGGTTTAAAGGGAGTAGAACCTTGTGACTCTTTTGCTCCAATAGAAAGACCAAAGCTATATGTGCTTTCTCATTTCTATGAATTTTTAAATCTTTTCATTAAAAACATCAAATTTAAAGAAAAGTTTCAAGAATAGTACAATGAACTCTTGTGTACACACATCACCAAATTCACAATTGTTAACATGCTTGTCTCTCTCTCCCTGCTCTCCTCCCCCTCAGTGTACACACACATACATACAAATTCTCTTTGTCTCTCTTTTTCTCTTATTATGTTGTTGTTTTTGCTGACCCATTTGAGAGTAAGTCGTAGGCGTCATTTTTCTGTAATATTTGTTTATAGCTTACCACAGTGCCTCCAAAGTGAGTTCCTGATATTCATAATTAAAGAGTCTGAACCTTTCTCTTTGTTTTTAACTCTTAAAATATTTTGAATATGCTGAACCTATTAATAATTAGCAAATAGTTATTAAATGTTCACAATAGTCCCTACAAATATCCTTGTAGAATAAACATTCTTAGAAATTTCTGTTTAAATTTAGGAAAGCTGTCACTACTTTGAAATATTTACACAAAATATGAACTACAGCTATTTGTTAAATGACTGAAAGATTAGTATAGTGTCCATATCTCCCAGCCAGTTGTCATTAATTTGTAGGAAATAGATTCTAAAGCAGTTACAATAATCAAGTTATTTCTTTCTGAGGTTTTCAAACTTGTATATGTAGGAGAACACCTGCATGTTATAGTACTCTTTGAATTAGGAACAGTTTTACCTGAGAAAATATGGTTATATTATGTAAGTGTAATAAAAAGCAGAAGTAAAATCATGTATGCCAATCAAGAAAAGCTTTCACAATAAGCATTATTGGTTATTTTATCTTTTTTTTTTTTAAAAATATTATTCCTTTTATACTTGGAAGGATAAAACTCTAAATGTACTAGAAGAAAAATTGTGATTTTTTTTTTTTTTTAAATTACTGTAGCCATGAGAGCCTTTATATGCCTAACCTTGAATCCTGAAACCAAAAATGTTGGAATCTGACTACATAATGATGAAAACTTTTTGTTTGGTGACAAATATAAGAAGATTTAAAATACCAAGAATAAACTGGTAGGGAATATATTTACAACCACTGTAACAGAGAGTTGATGGCCACAATACTTAATAAGCACCTAGAAGTTAATAAGAGAAAGAAAAAGAACCCAGCAGAAAAAGAAGTAAAGCATCTGAATAAAATATTCACAGAGGAAATGTAAATAGCATGTATACCTATGAATGATGCTGAGCTTTACTGAAGGTAAAAGAAGTGGACATATTAAGTTTGGCAGAAATGAAATTTTTTTTTGGAAAATACGCATGAAGGGAAACAGACACTTGATGTGCTATTTGTAGGGCTATAAAATGACATAACCTTTTGAAGGGAAATTTAATAATATCTATCAGAATTTTAAAAATCTCATATGCCTTGATTCAATTAATTCCAATTCTAGGAATTTAAATCTCAAAAATATTCCCAATGGTGAGCAGTAAAGTGTGAACAAAGTTATTTATAACAATATGGTTTATAATAGCAAAAAAATTGGACATAAATGTCCCTCAGTAGGAATTATTAGGTTTATTATGGTACCTTCCCCAATCCCCCCTTTCTGTGCCTGCTCCCTCCCAGAATATTGTCTGTTTTGTTCACTGATGTATTGTATTCCCAGTGCCTACAGTAGTGCCTGGCACATAATGAACTTTTAATAGATATTTGTTGAATAAATAGATTAGGGAATGAATGACTAATACAGTGGAATATTATTTAGCTATTAGGAAAAATTATACACACATACAGGCTCTGATTTGGAGAAATGTTTATGATACATTGTGAAATGATGAAAAGTTTCAAAGTAATATTTTGTAGTATGTTCTTATGTTTGTAAAGAACCAGTTATATGTTTATGTAAGTGTATATATTTCAAGAAGTAGTTAATAACAAAGATTTATATATTAATATCTGATTGTATATACTTATAAAAAAGTCTAGAAGGATAGACCTCTAATTTTTTTACTTTATACACTTCAGCATTCATCCATGTTTTGCAACGAGTGAAAGTCATTTTAATCAGTTTTTCCCTGCTCTAAAATTCTGAGATGTTAGGACTGTAAATAGCATATTAAAAATTAGTGGGAATTTAACCAGATCATCTTTTGTCAGGTAAGATATCTAGTGTGTTTGCAGGATAGGAAGTTATCTCACTGCCGTGTCTTAGCATCGGCACTCCAAAGGCAGTCAGCTGATCATTGTGGTACAGCAAAATTAAGATGGGCAGGGACAGGGTGACTCTGTGCCCTTGAAGTTTGGAATCACTGGGAAAGAGTGACCCTTGGAAGAGAAAAAACCAAGACTTCGAATTTAACTAGTAATTTTTTGAAGGCAGTGGGGAAGGAAGGTAGAATTATCTAATGAACTATTCATAGAATTGGTTGGGGCAATCAGGTCTCTTCATTTAAAGGCTAGTTTTTCTTTGTTTTCTTTTTAGTAACATACTGATCCAGAGGCTATATGAGAGAAGATCACTCATGCTAGTCTTCTGAGTCTTTACTGGTGGCTCACCAAAGCATCAGAGTAATGTTTGCATTTAGTTTTGTGGGAGTGTCCTGGTCTTCTTAGAATTCAGCCTTAATTCTAAGTCCTAAATTCTAAGAAGCCTTAGAATTTAACCTAATAGGACTAAAACTTATTGAAAAAAATCACAAAATACATCTATGAGCAAGACACAGAAATATGTCTTTAACCATGTTTTTATAATAACAAAAGTAATATATTTTACTATAGAAAATTTGGAAGATCCAGAGAAGTTAAAAAAAGAAAATAAAGGTTGTATTTGCAACACAACCATTACTTAGATTTTGCTATTTCATTTTGGTCTCATTTCCATAAGACTTGTTAAGATAGATTTACAGGTCTTTCTATTGGATAGCAAACTAAATAATTTACTGTAGTCTTTATTCACAGTTTTTAAAATGAATGAATGTTTATAAAGCAGTTTGTAAGTTGAAAAAGCTGCTATGGCTTTCATATTATCCCCCATAAGTGCTGAGAATTTTTTCACATGCTGAATCTGACAATTGGTCATTTCACTTTTTTCTTTCCTTAAAAGTTGAGATTTAGCACAAAATGATTTCCTTTCTGGTTATAGTTTTTAAAATTAGTTACTTATATCTTAACCTGGAATATATTATAACTTTAGAATATGAAAAATTTTAATACCTTGTCTTTGTAGCTGTCTTTTGTGCAAAACTAGTGCATTTATATTGAAACATACTACATTTTTAGGTATTCCATTATGAGATAATACTGGATTGATTTTCAGGGGTCATTCTTAGTATCAAATGATTTAAGATGTTTAGATTAAAATTATTATTTCTCCTGTTATCTTTA